TCTGCACTTTATCAATAACTGGTTCCCATACTGCCAAGGACGCAGCTTTAGAACCCAGGGGGAGTCCTAGATAAGTAGTCGGGAGAGTTTCCAATTTGCAACCAAAAATATTCGCCAAATGCTCTGGATTATCCACCTCCCCCACTACCATCATAGAACTCTTGTGCAAATTTACCCGAAGTCCTGAGATGGTTTCAAAGAGTGCCAAAGCCGCAAGGAGTAAACGCACCTGCTCCTCAGATGCATCACAGAAAAGTAAGGTATCATCAGCATAAAAGATGTGAGAGACCTCTCCAATCTTTAATTCCTCATTCATAAAGAAACCCTCAACTAAACCATGAGCTCGAAGAGTTTTCAAGATGCCAGATAAAACCTCCATCACCAAGATAAACAGGAAGGGGGACAGGGAATCACCCTGCCTGAGGCCTCTCTCACTCGGAAAGAACCCTGAAGCTTCTCCGTTCACCAATACAGAAAAAGATGCCGTTGAAATACAACTTTTGATCCAAGATAGCCAAGTAGCGGGGAAGCCCATACTCTTAAGGACCAATAAGAGACAATTCCAGTTGACATGATCGTATGCCTTCTCGATATCAAGCTTGAAGACCAATCCCGGCTTTCTGGCCCTTTTCCTCGAATCAATCAATTCATTGGCAATTAAAACTGCATCAAGTATTTGACGACCTCCCACAAATGCACATTGTTCTTCTGTAACCAAGCCTCCCATGTATGTTCTCAATCTTTCCATGAGAACCTTCGAGAGAATCTTGTAAAGGCTGGACACTAAACTGATAGGTCGTAAATCCTTGACATCTCCAACTGCTTCTTTTTTGGGAATCAAAACCAAAAAAGTGTGATTAACACTTTTTGGTAACATCCCAGTAGCGGCAAACTCGTTCAAAGCCCCCAAAATGTCCACCTTCACAATAGGCCAAAATTTCTAAAGAGGTGTAGACATCAAATTCTCAAATAATTTCACTCTCTTTATCATATTATAGTTTATTTATTAATTTTTTATTGATAAATGAATATTTCTAATGTTTTTCTTTTTAAAACTATGGTACTTGTGTATATATGGTTGTGTCATGTGTGTTTTATTACTCTCTTTTACCTTTTTATGGTCTTCTTTTGGATGACATCTTTGTTGTTGATCTGTTTGTTTAATTCTTTCTTTCTTACCATTTGTAATTCTTTCAATGAATGAGCATCTAAGTATCACTTTATTTATATAGGGATTAATATTATCGATTCCACCTCAAATATCAATTAATCTAAATAGAAACGAATAACTAGATGTGTCATTCCTAAAAAGAATATTGATTACGTTATTCAAAATTTTGGATAGCAAAATTCTTCCCAAAAAATTGGGGGAAGTCTCAATTAAAACAACAAGAAGATAAACTCTAAGCTTTACAGGACAAAAATTTACACATATTACCAAAGATGTAGGAAGATCATTTCTCCCATTTTACTCGCACAAAGAAGCCCTCTCCTTTACTATCGCCCCCGTTTACTAATTTCTTATTAAGGATTCAAGTAACCACATTCATCTCTTCTACCTTGTCCATCTCAAAAATGGGGAGCCAGCCCGAATCTCCATTGTTGCCCCAACACCACATAAAGAAACCCACGTACGCCGCCGCCGGCGTCGTCTTCCCCAAACCCACCGACGATCCTCCGCCTCCGCCATCCCTTCCACCTTCGCCGCCGGTTGACAACGATGATCCTAACAGCCATAAACCAGAACCCGAATTCGAATGTTCACCCCGATGTCTCCGTGTCACCGCCGTCCTCGGCGTACTCCTGCTCATCGGCATTCCCATCTATTACGTGATAGAAGACCAATTGGCGCCCTACTCCCCCAAAGCCGACGTCGTTTCGGCCTTCGTGTCAATAAAAAAATCCAACACCAGTAATGGGCCCGCCGCGGGCCGGTTGACAGCCAATTGGGCCTTCACTCTCCATCTCGACAACTCGCTCCCTTGCTGTCAGGCCGTGTACCCCTACCGAGTCGAGGCTTCCGTTTATCACCAGGCCGACGGCGGCGAGGGCCCGGCCCGTGACCGGCACGTGCTGGCGTCGACTCGTCACTTTGCGGGGTTGAGCGTTGACCCGAAGGTGGACGATCTGACGTTTTTCATTCAGTTGGGAGCGGAAGGAGCGGACGTCGGGGAGAATGTGACGGCGGCCGTTTATAGAGATCTGGCCGAATTGGAACAGAATCGGTTGCGGTTCAGGGCTGTGATTCTGGTTTGGGTGAGGATCGAACCGTATAACTTCGCAAGCCGGTATTATTTGGCTCGGATTAGTTGTGATCCGTTCTGGACCGGTTCGGCTAGTATTGCGGGCAAGTCTCTCGATTGCAATAAGGAGTGTCAAGTCCACGTGTAAGTATATAAAAATTCTTAATCATATTAGTAAAATTGTGATCGGGAGTCGTAAAATTCTGATCGAGATAGTAAAACACGGAATTTTATAGGTTTTGCTACTTTGATTTTGCACTGGAAGCCAGATTTGTCAATATATATGTAATGTGTAATTGTATGTTATGGTTGAGCAGGATTGAAGAAAGCCACCCAAGTTCCTTGGACCAAAATCGAACAAGATTGAACACTACAACAGTATAAATTACTAGCGGGGAAGTGAAGCTCTGAGTTGCCCAAGTGTTGTTTTTTACTTTTTACTGCGTCTGAACTTTTGTAAGAGTAGAGTAAATATGGAGATAAATGTTGGTTTTTGGATTTGATCTTATGGTAAGGAGTTGAGGATCTTATGGTAAGGAGCTGAGTTCAAACTTCATGTTTTGTACCAAATTTTTGCTATCAGACAACTCATTTAATAGAATGCATGATAATCACTTCCAGGACAAACTTCAGCTTAATTTAGAGTTTTTGAGAAGTTATTATAAATAAAACATTGAAGTTTGAACTATAATGTTACATGAATTATTATTGTCTCACTTAAAAGATATAAAAAAAATTTAAATTTTTTTATTCTGCTATACATACTTGTCAAACAAAATTAAATAAGTTATGTACCGATGATAACCACTCTCATTTATCAAGAAAATGAAACAAACTATAAACAATTCTTTAGAAGCACAAATGAAGACATCCATTATATATTAGTTTTCTTTAGTGGCAATTGATGGCAGAATTAATGGAAGCAGTCGAGAGGATACCATTGCAGTTTGAAATTTTAGTTCTAGTTTAGATGCGACTCAAATCATACGACTTACATAGTAGGTATTATATGGTGCATATTTACTGTGACCCGTTATGAATTAGATCTTTTAGTACTACATGCAAATAGTCCCAGAAGGATGCAAAAAAATCCAATTAAGTCCAACTGTCATAAGAATCTCGAGCTCGTGAATGCCTAGGTTCTTTTGTCAAAGCCGCACAGCCACGATCTAAGCTCGGATGGCTCGAATCGACCTTCTCTTGAACCATACAAAGAGTGCAAAACATATTACTTTGCTCTATTGCTTCCGCCATGCTAGATCTTCTCCTCTTGTCTACTGATTTGAACCAGGCTCTGATATCACCTGTAAGATCCCGAGCTCGTGAAAGCTTATGTTCTTTTATCAAAGTTGCGCAGCTTCGATCAAGCTTGGATAGCTCGATTCAATCTTCGAACAAACATAAAATAAAGGGATACGTGGGGATATATACTTGCCCCAATCAAGTGTGATCGCTTGATTGATAAGAGTCTTGCCAAACTCTTCTGGAATCTTCAACAGAAAAACTCAAACAAGAATCTTGCCCTAGCTATGGAATCCACCAAAAGCTAAAACAATAAACCATAAACAATCATGCTCCATGGGAATAAACACAGCTCTGTGTAAAATTCTTATTCAACAAAGTCTCATCTCTAAAATCCGTGTTTACAACCTTGTATATAGCCCAGAGCAATTAAAATAATCAAAAACCCCAAAAAAAACAAAAACCTAAACCTAAAAGGAAGGCCAAGCCCGAAACGGTGTCCAAATACCCAGTCAGGTATTCAATGTCACTGGTTCGGGGTGTTTCTTATCCGAATACCCGGTCTCCCCTTGGAAACACCCGGTCATGTATTTTCCATATTTGGCTGAGGATGCATTGGTGGGATCACATCAAACTGTAAGTAAAATATATTAACTTGACGAAAGAGTTTACTTTTATTTTTATTAATCCACAAACTAGAGAATAACATGGGTTATGGTACAAAAGCTACAAAATCAAATTACAAGAGACTTACATATAATTAATGGAATAGATTACACATTTTTTTGTAATCAAAATGTTATTAAGTGAATGTAGAAAAGTAAAAATAATAACTCTTTTTTTATCACAAGGTGTAGGGTGTTAGATGTAAGGTTAAGTGTTAAGAGTATCACTATAAGAAAAAAGGTTTTCAGCTACTATTTTCTTGGCGACCATAGAAAAATAGTTGCTTGTAACTAGATTTTGCCAAATGTTAACAAAATGGTTGCTGATACCCAACTCTAGCACAACCAGTAGTAAAATGGTCGCCCATACATCAAAGCTTCAACAATCATTAGCAAAATAGTTGGTGATACCTTACCCTTTACCAACAATGTGGTAAATGATCGCCATAAACCAAAACTTCGCTACCATTTTTGAAATGGTTGGAGATACCCTACCCTTACGCAACTAAGAATGAAAGAGTTGTCGATAGACGTTGTAACTAGATTTTGCCAAATGTTAACAAAATGGTTGCTGATACCCAACTCTAGCACAACCAGTAGTAAAATGGTCGCCCATACATCAAAGCTTCAACAATCATTAGCAAAATAGTTGGTGATACCTTACCCTTTACCAACAATGTGGTAAATGATCGCCATAAACCAAAACTTCGCTACCATTTTTGAAATGGTTGGAGATACCCTACCCTTACGCAACTAAGAATGAAAGAGTTGTCGATATACGTAAACTTCAGCAACCAAATGTTAGAATTTATTTTAAGGGATGTAATTTCCCGGAATTCACCTCGTCGGATTATCAAAGGTTTGTAGAAATACCTGGAACCGTGTTGTTGATCGCCAAGAGCTTGATGCGGAATCTGGAAGACGATCTACAGCCGGACGATACTTCTTAGAGCACGATCCGGGAGGTTTTGTGATCTTCCTCAACCAAGCCTCGTTAGACCACTAACGGGAATCCTCTGATCTTTGCAACCATAATAGGAAGTCTCAAGATATGCTTTGAACTCTACCCAACAATGAAGGGTAACCTAATGTAGAGTTTATGCTACCTTGACATCCTGTAACATCAGAGTCAGAGTACTTGATGATCTCTAAATTATCTGATCTCCAACAAATTTGCATGAATTCTTTTATCAACTTTAGTAAACGCATTACACGTTTGAATCCTTCTAGTGTTTCATGCATAGATCAATCAAATATTTGCCAAAGACTCTTACTAGAAATGCTTTATTGGGATGAGAATAAACTAAAGTATACATTAGATCTTTAATGCAAATATGCATTCAAGAGATTTTGTATCTTAATTTCTTATATATAATCGGGGCACTGATTGAGACCAAAACTGTCTCCCTTAGCTACAACACATCTCCTGGTTTACTAACTTATTCTACTGCACCTTAAGTAGAACAACCATGATGTATAAAACAGGAAAATGAATTTACTCCCACTGAACTTAAGATATACACAATCATCTCCAACATTAGTCTCTAAATCTGAATGAGCTAATAACATGAGAATCATTGTCTATCAATAATGAGATACTTATATGAGCCACCATTGCCATTATATTCCTTAAAGAGTCTTTCAAATATACCAGAGAGAAAGTCTCTTTGAGCCAACACTTTCCTTATTAGTAAAGCATTAGAGACCAACATGCCTTATATCTCTCATCGACTTCACCACATGGCATCAATCCACTTTTCATAACTGTTCATGACTTGACTAAAATTGAATCATTAGTCAACCTGATGTCATGTATATATTCTTTAAAGAACAACGATATTGTTAGCTAGAATCGTCCATCTTCTACTTTGTGGATATACTTAATGTCACTTCTTGAGTTTGTTGAGTTTATGCAGTAACTAGATTCCTTATGTTTCCTCCCCCAAAACTCAACATACTCAAGAAATCTCACATTTCTCATTTAAAAAAAAAAAACTTCTTGAGATGGGATTATAAAACTTGTAGCCTCGAGAGTACTTTTGAGTAATCAACAAAGTATAAGTTAATTCTTTTGTCCATTATACCTTCTTGTACCTTACAAGGTATTTCCTAAGTTGGACAACCCTACATGTGCAAGGTCCTTATTGCACTTATTGGTTACATTAACTACCTTCTGGATACTCAATTTAAGGATGTACGTTGTAACCTTTATGGCTTTTATCCAAATGGAGTCTATTAAGTAGAAATACTCCTCACCATGTCTTTAAGAGTTCAACGAAACCATAACATCCTTAACTCTCTATTTGTTCCTTTACTGAGAATTTGAGGTTTAGTAATTGAGTTCAGTCTCATCTCGTATCTTCCCTCCTCTCCTTTTGTGAATATTAGAACTCACCTAAAACTTCATGGAGGAAGATAAATTAAACCAAGTGTTGAGTATGTCTTTTGACACCTCCAAAATATAATACACTTGTGCATTTTGCCTTTACACTTTATGGATTAAATTACCCCAATAGGCAGCTTACCCTAGATCCTTTTATGTTTTGGCAAAATACTGTATTATTACTTCAATAAACCTCAAAGGCATCTCAGTATAATAGCCCCATAATTATTCATCGAATAGAGCTTAATGATCATCATGCACACTGAATTGGATATATCTCTATTCTCTATTATTAAATCTCATTGAGATTTTCCGAAGTAGAATAGGGATTGTTCCACATAAGAGCGCAAGATGAATGCCTATATATCGAGAATAATTATCTTGAATATACTTTAAATTCTTTAGATTCATCCCATTTAACAGAAGAGTTAACTTTAATTTCGACAGAAATATTTAAACCAAAGCAAGAAAAACTATATTGAGATACAAGAAAAACACACATCAAGCCATGTAATTAAACAAGACAATAAAATTATTCAATTTTGGGGACCCATCATAAGATACCAAATGCAACATTAATTCTTAGTCTTTGGACAGAGAAATTAACTGCGAGCGGTACTCTTAAAACAATGATCAAATACTGATAATAAGTTCTGTCAAACAACAGTCTATCTTTGGACCGACTGTTATTCACATGAACAACAACTTTATAATTATCACATATTTACCATTAATGTGCTTGATTATTTTGGTCAAATAATGTCGTCCTTTGGGTCGAGCACTACCCACATAAAATAACCTTACACGTGCATCCATGTAATCTAAGTTAAATAATTTTTCGCAAGTAGAGGTTACTTTGGCAACATACTGCTAAAATTAATTTAATTAAAATACTGGACAATTCTCTCATAATCACAGAATTCCAAATAAGTGATTAATTATCCTTAAGAGAGAATTACAATAATAATTTAAACAACCGTTCACTCCATCTCAAGACACAATGCACTCCATTAATATTTGTCTTTGGACAAAATATTAACTTGTAAGTAATGTCTTATGATCGAGTAATTAAATATTGATGATAAGAACATATGAACTAAATCCACCTTTGGGCCGATTTAAAATTCACATGCTAACCGAATAATCATCCCATACTTATTACTCTCTGCGCACATATGGAACCTTAAATATTCACCTATCTTTTGGGCTAGTAAATACATAATTTGCACGCGCTACAATGTAAACCTTTACCATATAGGGATTTATAAAAATTGTCAAACCGACCCCAAAATCCGTCTTGTTTACCATACATATTACAAGACATGAAATGCACAAAATTACCATAATGTGCATTTTAATAGTCCAACGACCATCACACAGAAAAAAACGCAAATAAATCATGAAATCCTTATGGCTAGCCCTAAAATCCAAGCCAAATATATAAGCAGACCATGAATTCATGTTGTTGTCTTTATTAAGTGACCCTTCAGAAGCATAATGAACTCACAATGATGGTTTGCTTAACCGTAGGAAATTAATTACTGGTCATGGCAAAAACAAACAATTATTATAATAGAAATAAAAAAATTAATATCGGGAAGGCAAAAACAAAATTAAACACTTCTGATCTGTAACCGACCATAAATAATAGATATTATTGAAACCATTATTGCCCTGACTAAACCGTAATAATCATCATTAAAATATGTGAGTTCCATCCGAAAAGCTGAAAGATAAATTCAGCTCAATTTTCGTAACTGGTAACAAATCTTACCGTAACTGAATGCAAATTGAATAATTAATCAGTATTGTAACCGAATACTATACTTAATTAACTATCTGGTTAATTGATAATAATAATTATTATAACCTCAACCAAAGTCGAAAATAACTCTCCGTAACCGAATGAGAACAAAATAGTTATTATGGAAATCATAAACACATAAATAAGTTCCCGTAACCGAAAGACTGAATTATTAATCTTTTCACTTCCGTAACCCATAAACGGAAGATAATTATAGTTAATTCTGTAACGTTCAGCAACAGCAAAAATTATAACTATTAATCTATTATTATACTGAAACCTTTCACAATGGAGCAATACAACTAACCAAAAGATAAACAATTATCATAATAGTTGTTAACCAGCTGCACCAAAAACCTTAAATTAAGCTTACGGTAAGGGGCAAAAATAAATGATTCCAATTTCACTTAATACCCCATCCTTATTAGTTATTACCGAAACTTTAATGAATTATAACCCAAATAGAATTCCAACGGGTAAGAAGTAGCACAACCGAAAAATGACCATGAACGTTGATGCATTCATTTTAGTTCCAATTTCTGGAGAGCATTCTCCATTCCCCAGGGACAACCAAAACATCATGAACAGTAGCACGCATCATTACCGAGAAGAAAAACTTAATGATCAATCAATTGCTGATAAACCTTATTGTCTTTAACTTTAACCAAAAACCAAAATTATCATAATAGTAATTTCCCATCCCAGTTACTGAAAACTTCTAATTATGAACCAAAAGAAATGAACAGCTGCATGCATCCCACTTCCCAGCGCATTAGGGGTAGGGGGGATTAAACAATCACAGTCCATGGATTGAGAGCAGTAGCATGCATTCAACAGAAGAAAAAAAAAATGGAACCAAAATTTCTCCCAACATATAATTCATATAAACTTAATATGAATATAATTGACTACACGAGATTGCAAATGAAACAATCTTGAGTCAAACAAAGAATGTCAACGGAATGAGAAGAAGGAAACATAGAACCAAATTAAACATGCTCCAAACATGAATTCCAAAACCCCAATAATCAAACAGAGATGAAGGGCTCTGATACCACTTGTTAGAATTTATTTTAAGGGATGTAATTTCCCGGAATTCACCTCGTCGGATTATCAAAGGTTTGTAGAAATACCTGGAACCGTGTTGTTGATCGCCAAGAGCTTGATGCGGAATCTGGAAGACGATCTACAGCCGGACGATACTTCTTAGAGCACGATCCGGGAGGTTTTGTGATCTTCCTCAACCAAGCCTCCTTAGACCACTAACGGGAATCCTCTGATCTTCCTGATGGGGAGAAGAAGAGAGTGTTTCGTCTTGATGTCTTGGGGACCACAACCTCAAACACCTTATATACTAGTTTCACATGGGCTCCCATAAAACCCAACGTGATCAAGTATTGGGTTTCCACCCATTTGACCCATATTGGGCTTGAGTAGTCATGGGCACCATAAAATTGACCACTTAATTTAGCCCATCTTAGCAAATAACAAATATAGTGTGTTTAGAAATTGATGGCCCACATAAGTTAGGAAATGAATTTCCTAACACCAAATAGATTAGTTGATAATTAAGGTTCTTAATTAATTAACCCCCTCCCCCAATAACCATTGTTCAAATTCAAAAACGTAAAATTTTTAGCTCCCTATCTAGAAAGCGACAAACAAACGTCTTTTTTTTACCATTGTTATAAATTCATTGTGCTTTGGTTCTATTTTTTTCCCCCACTTCATCTAACCAGTCTAGTCTCTGATCGCTCCAAACATAGATAAATTAGCGAAAAAAAATTTGTGATTGCTGCCGAAGATGTAGGCTAGTGGTTAAGTAAGTTACAAAAAACAGGCAAAAATATAAAGTAATGATAATCAGATCATTAATGACTGTCTCTCCCTTTGACTCGCTCAAGAACTAGCTAGAGGCACGACCACAATGATCGTTGCTATCACACTTATTAAGGATTCAGAATTCATGAAAAGAAAGAAATCAGATTAATTCGTCGTCTCTTCTTCTTAGCCACGCATCCAAAAAAAAATGGGCACCTTGACGTCATCATCATCATCCGAGCCTCAATCTCCACTATTGCCCCTACAACACCACCACAATGTGAATTCGCCGTCCGCCACCGCCGTCGATCCCACCACCACCGATCCGCCGCCGCCACGGTCGTCCCTACCGGCTGTTGACCACCACTACAACAACGTGAGCAGAGATCCCACTTGTACAGAATGTTCGATCACGATTCTCCTATTTGCTCTTTTTTTCGGCGGTCTCTGGACTGTATTATCATATGGCGAATCCAAACCATACTCCCCTTCTGCCGACGTGATTTCGGCCTTCGTGTCAATCGAGAAGAACAACGGTTCCACTGGTCATGCGGGCAGGTTACTGACGGCCAATTGGGCCGTCACTCTTCATCTCGATAGCTCCACTTTTTGCTGTCAGGCGGTTCATCCGTACCGAATCGAGGCTTCCGTTTTTCAGGCCGACGGCAACGACTCCTCATCGTCGTCATCAGCAGGCGGTGGTGGCCAGCAATATCTGCTCGCTTCGACTCGGCGGTTCACGGGTTCGACCGCCAAATCGGGGCAGGACCACACCACATTTTCGATTCAATTGAGAGCGGAAGAAGCAGATGTTGGGGAACACGCGGTGGCCAATGTCATGGAAGCGGTGGAGGAGAATCGGTTGCGGTTCAATTTATTGGTTCTGGTTTGGGTACGGGTTAACGATCGGTATTATTTAGCGCGAATCGGTTGCGATCCGGTTTGGATCGAATCTTCCAGTATCACAGGCAATGAGTTCCGGAAGAATACAAAGAAATGCCAAGTACAAGTGTAAGTATATACAATTTTTTTTCTAATTATTACTACTCGCGACGGAACTATATGAGTGTACGCGTACATGTTGATAATAATCTTTTCCTATTAATGCATAATACTAATGTGTATCGCGTATCTCATGTGAATTATTTTGGTTGAGCAGGACTTCACAAACCAAACCAATGTCTTGAGATTAGAAGCTCCAAAGTTACATAACGGTTTTTTCTTGCTACATATTTTATCTTATTGTGAAATTTTGTAAGAAATGAAGCTATATGCGGAAGAAGATTTGATGTAATGGGGCAGAATAGTTGTGTGGAAGAATTAGGGTTGCGTCTGAACAATTTGTTTTAATTGTATTTGTCAACCAATATCTAACACACACATGACATTCTAAATTATCCTTCTTAATCACTACACCCTTGGACAACTAGAATCTTAACAAACACATGACATTTGACGTATTTGGACCTTGAATATTATGTACATAGTAAGTATATTCAGAAATATTTTTCAACCCACGCCCATGACATGTGTAGAGTGGCATTTACGGGCTTAGGGTTATGGCAGGGAATTTCTATTCCTCTCTTCCTCAAATTCTCTTATATATATATAATAGCGATGATCATTGATTGATAAAGGTGAATAAGAACACAGTTCGGAGAGAGCGCAAACACATCCTTGAATTTGTCTCAAATTATGGGATATCACGTATATCGTGTATCGTTGTTAAGAACACAATTCGGAGAGCGCAAACTCATTCTTGAATTTGTCTCAAATTAAGGTGAATAAGAACACAATTCGGAGAGCGCAAACTCATCTTCTTTTTTTTTTATAATGGTGATGAACTTTATTAAAGAAAAAACAAGAAAAAAAGGGGGAGAAGCTGCGCGGACGTCGGTGATAACCGGATGGGAGCAGTTTTGGAGGAAGTTATGCAGATCTTGGCTGGTCATCCGGGTTTTAGTGTTCGATTTGTAGGTCAGTGTAATAATAGGGTAGCTCATGTGGTGGATAGAAAGACCATTTCTTTGTACCCAATTGCGTGTCGTTTCTTTAATTTTCATGTCTGGCTGAATTCCAAGATGTAACTGTCTCTTTGTCTATCAATATATGATTATTTTTTGTAAAAACAAAAAACTCATCATTCCACAAGATTGGACGTGTGAGTTCAAGTGTCCTGACCGCTAAAAAGCAATACAAAGAGCATAGCACTAAAAAACAAACAGCCCACACCAGCAAAAAACAAAGGAAAGCCAGCAGACCCTGGAAGTTACACACAGCTGCTAGGCGAAACACACAACCTGAGTACAACATGATTAGTAGTTAAGTTCCACTATTCTTACGCAAACTCATCCTTGAATTTGTCTCAAAATATGGGATATCACGTATATCGTGTATCGTTGTTATATTTTCATTTTGATCCTCATACATTTCGATAAATGTTAGACTCTTGATTTGGTATAAGAGCCTTCAGTGATCGAAAGGTTTTTTGCTCGAATTTTAATGACCCCCATTGTTATGCGCATGGTGTCTAATATATGTTCATATTTTAAGCTCATATGAGTGCGCTTTCATTTGAGGATGTGTGTCAGTAAATGATATAAGATTCATAATTGAATCTCTCTCAACAACTCGAGCTCTGAGTAGGTGACAGATATCATGCCATGAAAGACGTTAGTTTGGAGCCATTTTGGTTTCAACAGTTGCTTTTGGACTTTGATCGATGTTACTTTTGTTTCTTCTATTTCCTGGGTTGTTGACAATACGAGTGGCATTCGGATTATTGTCAACCTTGTTCTTCATGACAGCACAAAGCATACAAAGTTGACATCCACTATGTGCGTGACTTGATCAATGAAATTGTTCTCATGCTTCATTATTTGCCTATTGATGAAGGATAGCAACCAGGGAACTATAATATTTTTTATATTAAATTTTGTATGCTTTAGTCTTAATATGAAATAGGTTGCATACAATCAGCCTTGAGGAATCACCAAATCTTGGTGCTTGTCAACTCAAACATCATCTTCGTCCCATTTACAAAGTTTATTGGCCATGAAATAGGTATTAGGGATGGCAATTTTGACATTACCCGTTTTACCCAACTTGTTTGACCTGTTTTGGGGCGGGTCCGACCCGCCCCGTAGGCGGGGCGGGCATGGGTAGTCTCATCGACCTGACCTGCCCTGACCCGCCCCATTCTCGACCCGTTCTTGTCTATTTTACATGTAATCTTAGTCAAATTACTTTGAATTTTCCTTTATTGCATCATATTTTAGCTATAATAAAGTTGTAAATTAGTGAAAACCTCAATTTCTCCAATAATTTAACTACAATTGTCATAATATTGTTTGTTATCTTAGTCTTATAATAAAAATAACGAATATTTCTAATGTTTTTCATATAAATTGCATACCCATTGGGTCGACCTGCCCCGACCCGCGACCCGTGATCAATTACCCGACTTGGACCCGCCCTGCCACGGGGCGGGTCTGGGTACCTAGAAACCCGCCCCGGACCTGCCCCATTGCCATTCCTAATAGGTATCTTTGTTATTGTTACGGTCTCAAGAACCAACGTCACCCTGACCAATTGAATTGGAGAGATCTCTAATCTCGTGCACACGTTTTCTAACTCCGTCTTCTCCACCTTCCTCGTATATGTATTTGTTGCACAGAAAATAAATATGTTTATGATATGTTAGAAATAATTTTTTTTATAATGGTGATACAAATTCTTTTTTTTTTTTTAATTAGGTGCTATATACTGTTACCGATTGTTTGGTTGTGCATGACTCTACAAAGTACAAAGCAAGCCAAGTTCCTTAGATGAAAATTGAATAAACCCCAACATGACCAGTGAGGTCTATGATTGGGTTGCAAGGCTGTTATTTTCTTACATCTTTTGTAAACTTCAACGGACTGCAAAATACGAGAAGTTTTATTAGCAAAAAATGAGGAAGGATTCAACAATGGAGAACAAAAGAATATCACCAGTTTATCCCTTTTTACTCGCACAAACAAGCAAGCCCCACCCTATATGACCGCTAACTTTTTGCTATTTTTATACACACACACAAAAAAAAAAAAACGAGAGTCAATCGCCTTCCTTCTTAACTCAAGATCCGGTCGTCGTCACTATCTAAAAATGGGTACTACTCGCACTTACCCAACATCATCACCACCATTCCAGTTCCAATCCCCATTGTTGCCCCACCAGCACCATCATGACAGGAATAATGCCATTGCCGACGACGTCGCTGTCTCACCCACGACGTCCGCCGCCAATCCTCCTCGACCACCGTTTTCTGTTTCCGACGACAACCAACCGACGTCGGTTGATCAGGACGATAAGGATGAGCCTAGAAAGGGTCAAACCCTCGTGGGCGTCATTCTCATGCTACTCATCAGCGTCCCCACCGGTCTATTTCTCGTATTTCTGTTGTCGAGTTTGGAAGAACTGAAGGCCTACACCCCCAAAGCCGACGTCGTTTCGGCGTTCGTTTCAGTTAGCAATAGTACCAACAACAGCAGCAATGGGCCTACCGCCACCGCGGGCCGAATATTAACAGCCAACTGGGCCATGGTTATCCATCTCGACAACGACGTGAGGCGTTGTTGTCAGTCGGTCCATCTCTACCGAGTTGATGCCTCGGTTTTTCATGGCGACGACGCGCTCGCATCGACCCAGCGATTTACCGGGTTCAACGCCCCCGATAAAAGGCGTCAGGACCACGTCACGTTTTCGGTCCAATTGGGGGCGAAAGAGGCAGATGTCGGCGAGAGAGTGGTGTCCGCCATTTCCAGGGATTATTGGACGGAATCGGCGGAACCGAGCCGGTTGCGGTTCAAAGCCGTGATTACGGTTTGGGTGCGGCTCAAACCGGATAGGTTCCGTAGCCGATTCTACTTAGCGCGGATTAGTTGTGACCCGCTCTGGATCGGATCCTCCGGTATCGTTGTGGGCACGATCTCCAAGGATAACCGGGAATGCCACGTTCACGTGTAAGTAAAAAATATTTTTTTTATTGCTGAGATTTTAATATTGTTTTGTCGTGTCGCGTTTGACAATAAAATATCATGTTGGTTGATCAGGATTCGAGAAAGCAAGCCAGTGTGGTTAGACAACGGTTGGGTGGTTGGCAGCTTGATCTGTGCAACTATCATTGTTTCTGCAAGTCTTTGTATCGTGGGCGCTAAGTTTGGGGTATTCTAGCGGTTGTGTCAGATGGTGACGTATGAACATATTTTGATCAAAAATAGTATTAAAATGGATGAACGCTTAAAAAGTACTTGTATTACACACACAAAAATTCTTCATACCAAGCTGTCGTTGACAAGTGTACGTAGTTATGAGTATTAATCCAAAACTTTGGTATCTCTCTTTACCTTGTCTCCGCCTCCAACTTCATCCAATGTTTATCTTATAGGTTACCTAGATTCGACATCTGAGAAATCTAGTATTTGGAGCATGCTAAATTACACGTTTGGTCACTTAAATTATATAAAATTTTCATATTTACCATCCAAATTCCTTGTTTTTGTTTATTCGCCACTAACTTTATGAATCGTTTCACTGTTAGTCACCGACGACCGTTATACTCTGTTAAGTTTTCCCCGTGTGGCAGTCAACTATAAAGTTTGACCGTTAACTAGATGGCGTGGAAATTAAAAAAATCGAAAAATGTTAATTTATTTTTCCACCTCATCATTCCACTTTTTTTTTCCAAGTAAGATCAAAGTACAATAGTTAAATCCTCTACCCGAAACCCCGAAAAAACAATTAATGAATCCACCCTACAAAATCGAAGGACGCTATCTCTACAGGGGACAGCAACAGGGCTTGTCTTGCCACTCTATAGGCAGCCCAGTTGACAGTCCTCGGAACCGAACTAAAGAGAATACACGAGGAATAGGAACTCAATAACAGGGCCCGCCCACCTCATCATTCCACTTACTTTGTCTATATGATTTATCATATTATTTATTTAATAAAAATTAATTAAATTACAAAAATAAATTATTTGCCACATTAGCAATCTCTCGCTCCTTGTGTAGCGCCTTCGTAGTTTCCTTCTCGATCGGCTTGGCAAAGGCCTCATCTCTCTCGTCGGATTTATTAGACTTCTTCGCCTTCTTGGTGATTCGAACCAAAGCCTCCTCGTCCTCCGGTTCTTCTTCTCCCGCCTCCGAATTTTTGTCGTCCTCGACGCCATACATGTACGGGTATCTCCTCCTCCTCTTGGCCATTTCCTTGGCCGTTCGTACCTCTTGCCTCACTTCTTGGCTTTCTTCCTCACATCGAGGCCTTCAAGGATCCAGATAGAATCTCCACGAAATCCTTGAAATAGCCAAATTCTGCCAATGCCCTAGCGTTGAGAGCGAGGGTTTTTAGGTAGTGTTCAAGAACACGCGATTCTGGGGTT